GCGTACCTCGAGAAGAGACAGTATTTGCCTTAGGCTTGCGCTTAGTTGACTCGACGTTGACTCATATGTTGTCTGTATTATCCGTACTCCGTAGAGTTGATTTCGTGGTTAATCAACGAAGCACGAGCGTCATTCGAGTTTTAAAAGTTAGATCACATTTTGCACGCTGCTATTCTACGGCCATTGCACTGACAGACTTTTTTTTTTTACATCCAGTGTGTACATATACACAATCTCAAGTACTGTGTTATTTATTTATTTGGAAGGTGGTTCATAAAGATAACGGCACTGGAACAGGTGGAAGAACCAAATGCGCATTTAATAAACGCTTTCCCACTTGTCACCTGTACTTGTTTATTTGCTTGCGGGGTGCGTGCACATCTGCGAGGGGAAATGCATTGGCACACAATGAGTTGACCTCAAGAGTTAATTCCAACCTCTGCAAAATAATTATGCACGATGGTAACAATCTCCATTTAAAGCTGACATGCACTGTCCCGGTAATGGTTCTGCAAAAAAAAAGAGTTTTACGACGTAAGAAAATAAAATGTTAAATAATAACACAACTGCAAAGGCACCACAACATGAGAAAAACTAAAGGGAAGAAAAAAGGTGTAACACAGCAACATATTTTGTTCTTCCTTTTTATTGCATCTTTATCTCTGCACAGAGGTGACGTTAAAACAGCATATACATATCTAAAACTGGTACAATTTATAAGTTGGCCCCCAAGTTGCATGCGTTTCAAGGCAGCACGAAATGGGCGAACGGGTTGCACTTCAATATCTAGCTTTAATTATTCAAGCAAAATTAGGAGAGCTTACTGCATGTCAAAACTGCTAGGTCAGAAAGTACCTCCGAGCACACCACAACATACGACCGGTCACTTTCGCCTTTCTGAGTCACTTCAGTGATTTCAGGGGGAAGGGCCCTTTCCCAACGTGTGGCTACGCTGAGTCAAGATACCACGGACTGATCCCTTTTACTCCTCCTGCGTATGCTTAACTTAGCATTTAACAAATGCTCTTAGCTAAAGCATAAAAAGGCTTGGAAAAATCAAGCCTGTGTTGACTTGAAAACCCAGCCTGCGGGGG